GCAGTAGAGCAATGACACATGAAATCTAATAGTGTACAGTATTATAGTGTGATCGGCTTGGCTCATCTCAAACCAGAGTTTGATCTGTTTCTAATGTATGCTGAAGATGCCAACCCTGAGATGGTCTTTCCTATTATTTTCAGCCAAACAGTTTTGCCATGTCAAGATGCTGTAAGTAGGCACACAGTCTCCTGTGGCTTGGTGTCATGTTTGAGCATAGTTAGATCAAACAGGCTCATTTGCAAATATCTGACATTACTATTGGATCATTGACATTTCTACCTTTTAAAAGAAGCATAGAGGTGAGCAAACAATCAGTAGAGTAGGCGGAGAGCATTTAACTGCGCAACCCTCTCAGAAGCAAATGGGAAAATGATGATTTTTAACACAATAGCACTCTAGTCATTGTGCGATGACCTGTGCTGCTGTTGGAAATGCATCAAGGAGAATTAATGATAAGACAGGAGCATCGTTCTCAAGCCTCCTACAGATCACTGCCAACACAAGCGGTGCTCTAACTAGGACAACTTCCCTTCTCAGCACACATTTCCATAGCAACCATTGTGGAACTTTCAGATAAACATGGTCCCAAAGCGAAATCAGTCTTTTACTGTAATTAGTGGCATGATGCCTTGCAACGAGGCAGAATTGAACCTTTACTTCAGTTTTTGATTGTGAACGATATAAGTAAATAGCAAGTCTCTAAGGAGCAAAAATGTATATGTAAGACCCTTTTAAGTTGTTAAAAAAAATTCACTCAATGATTTATTTTATTTTGAAGTAAAAGAAATAAGAAATAAAAGGCAGTCATTTGGGTGTATTGACACTAAAATTGGCTACATGAAACATGAATCCATAAATATCTGTGATCTGTCCCGTTTTAATGTTAATAATTCGACTGTTGTTTTTTTATAGACAATATTCATGTGAGCTTCATATATAAATTACAATATTTAAAAATATATATTATGACAAAGACTATAGAAAGGCACTTTGGTGTTTTATTTCCATTTTGAATCCCAAACAACAGGCCAAATCCCTGATTCTTATGGAAAAGAATACCATAATATAAATTCAAACTGGTGCATTTTTTTGTGAATTATCACTTTAAAGATGCATTCTGTTGTCATTTATTGAATATTAACATGCAGTTAGCAAAACACAACAACAAAAGATTTCATCTGAACCACATGGCTTTGGAGAGCAGTATCTTTCAGAGCTGACGCTCACGAGATGGCTGCCAGCTTAAGTGGGGAATAATAAAACACATGACTTTGATGCAAAGCTGGATTATTTGCATGGAGAAAAGGCGCCAATTGGGGCTTTTGCTCACATCGCTGCTTCAAGAAAACACTGAGCGCATCTGTTGCCATGGCAGCCAACTGTACTGTTAGCACTTCTATGTGTACAGAGTGGACAAAATAATGAAGGAAGAGAAGTGCAGCTCCGCATCATCTGCTGGAGCTCTAATGAGATGCCAACACACAATAACACTTTTGTTTTCTTGTTTTTGTCTCACAATATGTTAATTTTCTGTAGTCCTTCAGCAGGCCTGGGAGATGCACTGCATTGCTATAAATGTTTAATTGTGAAGGTGAATTAGTGATTAATCAGGATATTAGAATTTTTGTATCCATAGACATATTACTGGGGGGGGTTAAGGGACTCCCCATAAAGCCCAAAAAAGTGAACTTAAAGTCGTCAATTAACATTTACTGTGGCTTTCTTATTTTTTCCATTAAAATTCATTATTTTATAGAAATTGTACAGTAATATGCACAACAATAGAGTATTCATAGACCTAAGCATATTAGTCCCTTTCACACATTTACTGGTAAATTATCGGTAGCCTACCATTAAGAGATCATGTGTGAACAGGAGATTTTCAAAAATACTGGTAAATTCGTTCTGGCAATTTACCGGTATGAGAAGTTGTATCATTACCAGTAAATTACCGGTAATCTGCTCTGTGTGAACGTAGAATGAACATTACCGGTATGAGCAAGTACGAGTTCAGAGCGCGCTGGCGTGAGACTTCTACTCAGGGTCAATCAGAGCCGTTGAGAAACGGAATTTAACCCAATAAAAAAAATCTAAATACCGTTTTTAAAAAAACACAAGGCAACCAACTGCATTCAGGGAAACTCTTTCTTGTATCCTTTTAATGGGCAGTCTTCACTGAAACTCATTCAACTTCCTACAGGGAAAGATTGCAGAAAGACTAAAAACTTAAAAATATGACAACTAGCATCTGGTTATGATCGCTATTAAGGTGTTTCTCACGTTATCTAACTGCAAATATAGCATAACTGCCTATTATCTAAAACTAAACATTAACTATAACGCATTTCATAAAATACAACTACTGGCCAGATTTCCGAGAGGTAAACTAATGCATTAAAATGCCAAAAACTGCTGTAATTTCCTCAACTTTCTGGCGAGTGTGCTTGAGAAGCACTGAAATGAATGGGCTTCAATACTGGAACTATTGGTTGTTTGGAACTATTGGCTGCTTCATGACACGCTTTACTTCCGCATTCCTCAGTTCCTATGGAAGCCTATGGGAGTGTCGCAACTCTGTTTCTCAACGGCTCTGGGGTCAATCATAATATTTAGATGACGCATTTACTTGTGTAGTTCGGTTTGAAGTCTTCAATACGATGTCTCTGGGCCAAAAGCAGCTGCATGAATGTGAACGTTTGGCACAAGAATGAAAACATCAGCAAAAGCACTGACCGCGTATACCCGTCTACAAATGATGTCACAGAATTTACCGGTATTTTGAAACGGATGTGTGAACGGTGCTTTACCGGTAAAAAGACAGAAAGTCGTTGCTTGTGTGAACAGAGCATTTTTGTATTTACCGGTAAATTAGTTCCGGTCATTTTATTGCAATTTACTGGTATTACTGTGAAAGGGGCTAATGTCTCTCTGATTTTCTCTGACTTATTTGTTCCTCATGGTGCTGTTCAGTTAAAACCAAAATGTGTTTAAAAGTAAATCATTTCAGCAGCATAATGTGGTGTAAGTGTTATAAGGCATGTTCAGAGAAGGAACATCACATTCTTGTTCCTCATGCACTCGGCAGTTTAAAATAAAAATGAAAGTAAAAAAACTGAACTGTTTGTAAAGTTGTTCTAGTTCTTTCTAAATACGTTCAGCTCACTTCTGACTGTAGAGAGAGTTCAGTAATGTGGGAGAGAGAGCAGATACCGCACAGCCTTTCCAAGCAACACAAAGACACTGAGTACTTCACTTTCTTCTTTGCTATTTCCCCTGCAGCCTCATGTTTTCTATATAAACCGATCATTTAAGCTGCTGTGCTTCATTTCCTTTGAGAAAATAGGGTGCAAATGTTGTAATTGAGTAAGTAAACCCAGTTCTCATGTTGCCCAAATGGTGCCATTGAAGCTTTTAAGTATAAAGAGAGAATGAACTGTTGTGACGTTTCTCTCACCTGATTACCTGCTCATCCAGGGGGTCCTTATGATCTGGTAGAGAAGAACTACTCTTTCATTTCACATGACCAGGTGCTTTCAGCAGAATCTGGACTTAGTGGTTCAGCAAGTTCAGTTGTTAGTAAATAATCTGCTATTAAAGTTTGTAGGTTTAATTGGCTTTTCATAGTGGTGAGGATATAAATCTGAATGTCGAGTCTGAAGGTGTTTCTATAGGAAGGATTTACAAGGAAAGCTTTTCCAGAGATTAAAAGTGGAAACGTAAAAATTTTCATTTAATGACACTACCGTTTAAAAGTTTGGATAAGATTTCTTTTATGGTCACCAAGGCTGCATTTATTTGATCACAAATACAGTAAATATTGTGAAAAATGATTATAGTTTAAAATAACTCTATTCTGTATCAGCATCATTACTCCAGGCTTCAGTGTCACACGATCCTTCAGATATCATTCTAATATGCTGATTTGCTGCTCAAGAAACATTTCTTATTATCAGTGTTAAAAAGAGTTGAGCTGCTTAGTATTATTGTGTAAACCTTGATACATTTTTCTATAGGTTTGATGAATTCTAGGGGACAGCATTTACTTGAAATTGTACATAGCATAGTGTAACATAGTTTAAATCTCAAGGTTATATTTAGAAACTTGGTATTTTAACATCTATTTCAGTGTAATGCCTGGCTTTATATACTTTTATTGCAAAAGCATTCATTGTAAACACAATTTTTTGCTCATCATTTAAACCGATTTATTTATTAACTTGTATTGAAAGTAGAATATACCTTTTAAGAGCAAGACAAGCAGACTGAAGCACATGCTTCTGGTTAAACAGCTGAAATGCATTCCTCATTATTGACCCGACAACTCAGACTGTTACATCCGAACAGGCCTGTTTAATTGGAAAACATTTGTTTCAGAAATACGCCACGTTACAATTGATAAAACAAGAAAATCAAGGCCGAAGCGCCATCTTCAACAAATGGATGAAATTTCACATAGCGTACAGTGAGGGTGGTGGAGTTCTGTTATATAATCAGATTTTATTGGTCATATATTTCATTGCAAATATAGCCCTGTTTAACAGTATATAGAAGTGCGACATATACAATATTCAAGAGTCTGAGGTTTGTCATTCAGAGCAACATTACTGTAAATGTATTAGTAGTTCACTGTCACAGAAGGAGGCGTTTGTGCCCGTCTCATGCAAAAAAGCAGTTAAAAAAGCCCTGAAACATATATGAGAGGCAGGCCTGGAAAACTTCACATTACTCGGGTGAACGGAAACACAAGTCGACTGGCATATTTTGCAAAATTTGGGCACAGAAGTGATCAAAATCCATTTGTGACAACCACGTTTGAAAGTGCTACGACTACAACTCAAATAAGCATTTTTTTTCCTTTTCAGAAATAGCTCTTTGATATGAAAATAAGCTTTTGAACTCTAAACAGGCTAAGCAGGCAGTTTGCAGCCACATCAAAAATTTATAATATGCAACATGAAAAAAATTGATTTTAAAAATGTAGCCTTTCCTTTCTCTTCCTATAAAACACATCTGCTCACTCTGTCAGCTCGGCAAAAGAACAAAAATGTATCCAAGAGATAATAATTAGGATATTTAAAGTGAAAAACACTTTCATTGTGCACAACAAGATATGGAGAAACCAAGTGCTTAGTCTCACAGCAAATTACACTATGAAAGTTGTCGGATTTGTGCTTGTGATATCAATGCATTCCTCTCACAATATAAACTGAATCTGGACCACTACAGACCAACTCCACATGTATTAAACAACACAGGACTTGTTTGTCCAGTGTAGGATGCCACTTTATAAGAAGGGATATGAAACATGCCCTTAAAGAGAGAAAGCAGACCCCCACTTCCTTCATTTGGATGCCCGCAGCAGGACGTTCTCCTCGCCTGCTGCCGCACCATGTAATTCAACCCATACTAAGAGGGACTGCAAAGTGCTTTCGACGCAGAATGCACATAACCCACGATTTCCTGCCGCTTTAACAACATCCTTGTGCGTTACACTCCCGCCGATGACTTCTCCGCCGCGTTGTTCAGGACTTCATCAATTCTGTCGTCTTCTATGACAACTGAAAGAGAAATCACAAGAGATGCCCATGAAGAAATGACAAGACTTTAGGACAAAAATCAGACAGTCAGACTTTGCAAACTGCAAAAAATATACAAAATAAATTAAAAGAAATTAATAAATAATGAGTGAAACTGACTAATGTAAATAAAACAGAATGACATGCTATAATTCATTTATTTTAAATATAAATGTTCTAATTCTAGGAAGATTATTAAGTATGTTGTTTGGTATGACCTGATAATACTTGATGGACTAATATTAAATATAATATTTCTACTATTAACATATTTAAACACTTTTAATTGAACTGCAAAATGTTACAAGGTGATTAAAAACGTGCTTGCTTTTATTTATTGTTTGTTATCTGTGGAATAAAACAAGATAAAATTCATATAAAATGTAAAAAAGGAAATAAAATAAGAAATAAAAGGAAATATCTAAAAAAATGAATCTTTATGCAGTTTTTTCATACAATAAAATTCCATGTTGTCCATGACTGTAAAGCTCCAAAAAAACACAACAAACCAGCTTAGACTGTAGTGTTTTTTTTTTGGCAGCAGTGAAATTTCACTGATAATGTTCCTGAAGCTAGTTTATATATATATACAATAACATTATCAGTGAATAATGACTTATATTGAGCGCCGTTTTAGGCATAGGTAAACTAGGTGGTCACCTAGGGCGCCATCAGCTGGAGAGGGGACCAATGAGCGCATATCTGGCACTACATTTCAGCAGTAGTGTGTAAAGGCCTCCCTGAAATATGATTGCCGCCCCCACTGATTCCCCCAACACTATTGGGCTAGAGTTCTGTCAATCTGACGATTCCTATGCCATTGGATCAGAGTAGGCTACTGTAAATTAGTGTCTGACTGTTGCATGTAAAGTTTGCGTTTACATGCAACAACAACACCATTAGATCAAAGAGCTCGGTCAATGCTTTAGCAAGGTAACGCTTTTTTAAACCACACAATAAAACTAAATTCAAAGGCCAGTTAAAAAACAAACAAAAAACAGCTACAGTAAAAAGTGCACAAATCTGTATTTTGTGAAATGAACAGATAGCGTAATATTGCTCAGCGTGTAGCCTGTATGTGTACAGAGGCAAAATATAAACGCACACTCTCTTCAGCATTTTATGATGTTAATTTATATTTTATGATGTTTTTATTATATTTTATGATGTTTATGATTTATATTTTGCCTCTACAATACACACCGAGCAATATTACGGTATCTATTCATTGCGCAATGCATTGTTAAATGATCAGTGTGTTTTGTAATTGTCCCATATAAAACTTTCACACACAGAGGGCAGAGTGTCGTACAAAGACCGCACTGAATCGGTATTTAGTCTTATTATTTTCATGTGACTGATCAAGCTTTTATAGCCTACGTAGTTTGCGAAAAAAGGGTTTATAGGTTTGACTGTAATAATAATGCAAAAACTGACACTTGAAATCAACGTTTAAAATAAAATCTAAACAAAAATAGACAAAGACAAAAAGCAGTCTTTGATATTTAAGTAGTTAATGATGTAGTTATGTCTGAGAACAATTTCTTAGCAACTAGGGATTGCACAAACATAGGCTATATATTTTATATAGGGCTATACAGGCATGTAGCTCCACAATGGTTTTAATTTTAATCCTAATTAACAAATATATACAAATATAATTTGGAAATGTATCATACATATTGATAATTGATCGAAGTGTATTTTTTGTTCCTTTTGGACAATTCTTCAATAATAATCATTTTGTGTTATAGAGAATGCTGATACAGCACCTAAAATGTACAGTTTATGTATATATGGCTCTGTATGTCTATACGTTAAAATTTAAAAAAGTTTCTATTAGTCAATTAGCCATCTTTTAACTAGACAACGAAACAATTTGCCATTAGATGAAAACTCATTAACTCACAAGCAGGCAAGTAAATGCAAACGCATCTCTCTGACATCATCACGTGATGCCATAAATCTGCATATTTAAGGCACGGTAATAGTGGAAACGAAGCATTAGTTGTACTTTTTTGTGGTAATCAGTGTTTTTTAGTATTATTTATGTAGTATGTAACTTGTTCTGTTTTTAGTTAGTTTCCAAAGTGCTTATGTACTTGTTTTTTTTTTTTTTTTTTTTAGTTTGTTGAATATCACAACGTTAATATATCTTTTGAGACTAGAAAACGCACTTAGTTTTCTTTCACCTACAACACCGTAAATACGTAGTTTTCTCACCTCTCTTACTGCGTCCGATCTGTCCGAGTTTCGGAGCTCGTTTGTTCTGCGCAGCACTGAAGAAGTTACTGCTGTTGTTCTGCAGGCGACAGGTGAGGGATAGCTGCTCTTCATCTCCATCATCACCATAATGAGAGATGTTCTCATCGTAAGGCAGCACTTCTGACATGATCCCGTTCGCAGTAATAGATCACGAGATACGGGAAGAATCGATAACTAACGAGCCGCGGGCTCTGCAACCGAACGGCGAGCGAGAATCTCAGCTGTCTCGATCAGATGCAGCTGTATTTTACCTTCATACTACGGGAGCCACTATCACTTTTCCTATCGATGAGCAGGAGTCATTCGGAAAAACTGATGTAGATGCAAAACAGGAGCGCGATGCAAAAACACACACGCGGACCCTCAGAGAGCAGGGAGACGACACTCAGACTCGGTGCTGCAAAGCAGAAACTCCATCCCCCTCCCTCCACCTCACACCGCTGCCTGCAGCTCTTGGGTGCTGTGGTTTAGTGGTTAAAGACGTCCAAAAGGATGTGGGTTTGAATCCCACTAGGGTTGATTCGTGACTTACCACCATTGCCAACCAGAAGCTTGTCACAATTGTGTCTTTGCACGTGGGTGCTGTGGCTTAGTAGTGAAAGATATTTGAATACGTTTAGGGTCGATTCATGCTGTATAAGCATTTTCCTTGAGCAAGAACTTAAAACATGCATATGGGTGACATGGCTTAGATTATGGCTTCGAATCCCACGAGGAGAAAGGAATAGTTCACCCCAAAAAAGATAATATGCTGAAAATTTGCTCCCCTTCAGGCCATCCAAGATGAGATGAGTTCGTTTCTTCATCAGAATAGAAAATAAATTTAAACTTACATCACTTGCACACCAATGGATCCTCTGCAGTGAATGGGTGCCGTCAGAATGAGAGTCCAAACAGCTGATAAAAACATCACAATAATCCACAAGTAATCCACACCACTCCAGTCTCCATCAGTTAATGTCGTTTGATGTTGTGTTTCTGTAAAACTGTGTCTGTAAGAAACAAAATGGACTCTCATTCTGACGGCACCCATTCACTGTAGAGGATCCATTGGTGAGCAAGTGATGCAATGTTACATTTCTCCAAATCGGTTCTGATCTCAGAGAGCAGGGAGACGACACTCAGACTCGGTGCTGCAAAGCAGAAACTCCATCCCCCTCCCTCCACCTCACACCGCTGCCTGCAGCTCTTGGGTGCTGTGGTTTAGTGGTTAAAGACGTCCAAAAGGATGTGGGTTTGAATCCCACTAGGGTTGATTCGTGACTTACCACCATTGCCAACCAGAAGCTTGTCACAATTGTGTCTTTGCACGTGGGTGCTGTGGCTTAGTAGTGAAAGATATTTGAATACGTTTAGGGTCGATTCATGCTGTATAAGCATTTTCCTTGAGCAAGAACTTAAAACATGCATATGGGTGACATGGCTTAGATTATGGCTTCGAATCCCACGAGGAGAAAGGAATAGTTCACCCCAAAAAAGATAATATGCTGAAAATTTGCTCCCCTTCAGGCCATCCAAGATGAGATGAGTTCGTTTCTTCATCAGAATAGAAAATAAATTTAAACTTACATCACTTGCACACCAATGGATCCTCTGCAGTGAATGGGTGCCGTCAGAATGAGAGTCCAAACAGCTGATAAAAACATCACAATAATCCACAAGTAATCCACACCACTCCAGTCTCCATCAGTTAATGTCGTTTGATGTTGTGTTTCTGTAAAACTGTGTCTGTAAGAAACAAAATGGACTCTCATTCTGACGGCACCCATTCACTGTAGAGGATCCATTGGTGAGCAAGTGATGCAATGTTAAATTTCTCCAAATCGGTTCTGATGAAGAAACAAACTCATCTACATCTTGGATGGCCTGAGGGCGAGTAGATTTTCAGAATTGTTTTATTTTTTGGTAAACTATTCCTTGAAATTAATAAAAGAATCACCATTGTCCCTTTGAGCAAAACTCATAAGGGAGACTGGCACTGTTCTGTGAAATATGTTTTGGGGGGGACTGGCTACTGCGTTCACCATAACTTTACCATAAAATACAGCGATGATGTGTTTTACAGAATTACAGGAATTAATATAATAATTGAGCTTAATAATATTATGATAATGACAATGTGAGTGACATTTTTAACATTGTTTTTATTAAAATTAATAACAGTTTTATAATGTGTAGTAAAGCTAAAATGCAAAAGAAAATATAAAATATAAAGCTAGATTTCTTCTGTAATGCTTTTATTAAGAACATCACCTACCATTATATAATGTTAATGTTAATTCAAAGTCATATTTATATTCATATTCATAGTAATATTCTTGAAGACTTATGATTTATACAGTAGATAATTGAATGATGTAAGTCTATAAAATATTACAATGTAGACATAAATCATTTGTGTCTTATTAGAGGTTTATGTGATTTTATCAAGCTAGAGAGGTCTTGAAGACTTCTGGTGGTTTTAATGGTTTAAAATCATTATGTCTATGGTTATTTCAGTACTAACCATAGTGTTCCTCTAAGACTGAACTGCGATGGTACAGCTAGACAGGTATTTAGCTCCATCTATTGGTCAGATACAGTAGTACTCTCTTGTTACATGACTCCAAAGAGAAAGGAAAACTTGAAATTGCATCATATGACCCCTTTAATGCAAACTAGAGAAATGTGCATGCTCTTTAATCATTTACATGTTTTATAATATTGTTTGTAAAATATGCATATCTAATATCAAAGCAATAGTTTTTTAATTGCAATTTAGAAAGTCCCATTTAATAAAGATTAAAGCACAGAAAATAACCCCCCCCCCAGCACTTCTTAACCAGCAGCTTCTAATTAATATGTTTAGAAATGAGTCTGGTTTGAACTCTGACAGACTGCATTATTCTGAACAGCTCCTGTATATGTCTGAACTCCCTAACTCTTCTCCTCGGTTTCCTGCGCAGCACGTAGAGGAAGATGGCGCAGACGGTCAGACCGAACATCACCTTCAAGAGCCTGCAGAACCACAGGCCACTCTCCTGCTTCTTCAGGATGGAGTAAAGAGGGAGTAAATGCTGTATGTCCGGAGGTGGAACACAAACCAGGTTGCTGTCTTGCACCATCTTGCCTACACCTGTCAAGCTGGCAAAATACAGCATTTTGAAAAAGTTATTTTCCAGATGTTCAAGCCATAGAAACAAGCAGAGCAAAAAGAAGCAATTGCTGACAAGGTTAATGTTTGCACAATGATAAAGTCAAACATTCCCCTTGTTTTCTATAAAGTTCACATAACCAAGAAAAGACATTTTTAAAACATTTCGAACAAAAAAATACGGTAGTGTATATTAATTCTTCCGTACAGAAATTTTTATTTGAGCTGTAATTAATTAATTAATTAAATTAATTATTTAAAACATTTCATAAACTGGATGCTTTGAACATTCTGAGAAAAAAAAAAAAAAAGAACCCAAACTTTTAAACAGTAGTGTTCCTACTAGGATATTCATTATGAACTTTAAAGGGGTCATAGGATGCCCATTTTCCACAAGTTGATATTATTCTTTAGGGTCTTAATGAAAAGTCTGTAACATAGTTTGGTTAAAATTTCTAAATGGTAGTGTAAAAAACACCTTTTTTACCCTGTCAAAAACAGCTCTTTTCAGATCAAGCCGTTTTTGTAGCATTTTCCTTTAAATGTTAATGAGCTCTGCTGACCCCGCCCCTCTCTTCCGAGCTGCTCTCAGAGAGACTGTTTACTTTAGCCGCATTCATCGTGAAACTTGCTAATTAGCACATTATTAGGAAAGGCGATTTGCAAAGATTCATTACAAAACATTATACTCACTTCTTCTGTAGATAAAGCTGGATCACGAATGATTCGCGCGAACATAGACGCATTTATGTAGATCGGGGGCGCATTCCCTTCAAAAACAAACGTAATCCACTGGAGTTCAGCGGCTCAGATGTCGGGAGTAAATGACGACTGCTATGTTCATTATTACATCCAAAAACAGAAGACCTCAATCGCTTAGGAGTCATTCTTATCTACAACTGCTCCGGCGGTGAAACAATGGCGGACTGATGACAGCTCACTCAGAGCAGGTCTGAGGTAAGACACCAGTCCAGTCTGTGCTGAAACGCTACTGTCAATCAAACTATCGTGGGAGGGGCCTGTCTGTGTGACGTCACACAGACAGGCATCTGAGATCGGCTCGATTTGAGAAAGGGGAAAACATTTAACCAGATTAAAAAAAAAACACTGGGTGGATTTTTATCATTATAGGGTGGTTGTGTACACACACTGCCAACACACATTTCAGTTCAATCAACTTGTAAAAGTGCATGTAGCATCCTATGACCCCTTTAAAAGCAGCTGGGAAAAGTCAGTACATTCAGTCAGTAACTGAAGATTAACTTGGTTAACTGAATCCATACCCCTCCAAGTACAACTCATAATATTAATAAATATATGTAATATTTATCATTTAACTCATAATTTTATTATCAATGTGCATATACAAATGTAGATCATTTACTAGTTGTCTGTTGTGCGATTCATTCAGCACCCTCTTCTCTTTCAGGACCCTTTTGCAGTTGTCGACAGAAAGGCTGTTTAGGGTTTCCTTGACTGTCTGCACAACACATGGACACTGTACAAGTACAAATTTCAAGGAAATGTGCAGTTGTTGTTGTGACGGCATCAGGTGAGGGATATCTGCTCCTTTTGTCATCTAAAATGACTGATATTTTCTTCGTAAGGCAACACCTCGAGCATGTTCTCTCTCCATCCACAATAAGCAAGAGCTATATACTGTGTAATAATAAACAACAAGAGGTTTAGTGAGTATAATCTAAAAGCAGAATGAACAGAATGTCATGTGAGTTTAGAGTCTGGAAATATACAGAAAAACTGATTTACAAATGGATGCAAATGACAGCTATATCAGGCTCCACTGAGATAACTATCACCTCCACCCCTTCCACTTTGTTTTTTTCCAAGTGTAGCTCAGTGATTAAAGATATGGATATATATCTGAAAGAAAGGTAGGTTTGAACTCCAAATAAGAAGCAATATCACTCTCAGTTGTTTGTCTTACTGTGATCTCATCAAATTACACGGACTGATCCACTACAGAAAAAAAAGTTTTTTATTATTTTCAAGCCATTATAATGTTGTTTGTAAATTAAGCACGACTAATATCAAACCAATAAAGTTTCATATTGAAGAACAAAATGATTTTTAACTTTCTCTGGCATTTAGAGACTCCCATTTCATAATTCAGATGAGAATTTTTTTAATGTATGAAAAAAAAAAATCTCTCTCTGCCCTCTCAAACAGAAATGGTTACAAAAAACGAACATATATTAAAAAAATTAAATTGAAAATAAATTAAAAATAATGATACTGACATCCAGTTAACATGTCTTAAAGTGAGGAAGTCAATATTTAACCCCAAAATGTAAAGAAATTGAGACATTTTGCTTAACTAAAATAGAG